CTTGAGTCCTTCCCCTCCTTCTAGTTTAGCTGTACCTACTATCTTTCCTAGAGCTGAGTGCTCCCTTGCCTCCCCTGCCCCTCTAGTAAATGTCAGAAAATATTTCCTCACAGCCTCTGCTACTCAGGATTGTGTCTGAATATAGGGATCCTGAACCCCAGCCTTGTCTAAGCTCTCTAAATCACTTGACCCCAAAAAGGTTGCCACAGGACAGCACTTACCTACAGTGCAGGCTGGAGAGAAAGTGCTGTTAAGGCATTGAATTCCTCCAGCTCTGAGATCTGCAGCTTATTTAGACTGCAAGAAAGAATTTAGTGAGCCAGAGCACTGAATTTGTTACTCGTTAAGCTTAGTCAAAATTACTGTGAAATTCCTTAATTAAACAGCTCAAGCTGAGAAGCAAAATGCTTTCTAATCCAGCCACCACAGTGCCCTACTCAGTCCTGTACCTTTGCCTCTTCTTTCTTGCTGCCCTCAGGTTACCTCATGTGCTGCCTGTTGGTTTTGCTTGCTAGAGTGTCCCTTGACCCCCCCTCCACTGCACCGACAAGCAGGAAGCTCTTAATGCCAAGTATTGACCTAGTGGTGTGCACCAGCCCAGGCTGGAAGTGCATCTTGAATTTCTTGCTCCCCCGGGAGCATTTGATTAAAGGAGGATTTTCATGGTGTGTTGAGATTCAGAACGTGGTGCTATTCAGTAGCTGCTGGTGGCAGCTCTGAGCTGGAATACACACTGGGGCTCCACTCCCTCTGTGATGATGAACTGAGTCCTGGGACAAGGAATTCTGCACGATTTTTCCCCAGTGTGCAGAAGAGCACAAACAAGGCCATGCTCACACTTGCTGCCAGGCTGCTGTTCCTGTACTCGAGGTTTCACAGGTCTCACCAGATTTTCACTGATTCTCCACAGAAGGCTTCCACACCCACTCTCTGATGTGTCTCTTACAGCTAAAGAACTTGAATCAGCTTCACTGTTATTTGAGATGTGTGAGGTCAGTTTGGAAACACTTGGAAAATGAGGACATTTTGTGAGAGTCTGCACACCTGCACAGGGCCCAGACCAGCACCTGCAGGTGCAGGAGACCTCACAGCACAGAGTGCCTTTTACAGGCCTCAACAGGCTCAGCCTAACTCACACACATGTGCTCCTCAGAGTGCTCACAGGAATACACAATCTAAATTAATTTCTGCTATTATAAACCTTGAAAAACTTCTCTATAGCCCAAGAGATGGTTCTGGAGTCACAGCTCAGATGCGTACAGTTTTAAAGAATACAGTCCATAATTTTTTTCTTTCTTCTCTTCCAAGTGACTGAAGTTTTAATTAATAAAAACTATGCTCACAATGAAATAGGAAAACAGAATATTTTAAACAGAAGTATGTATTTCCATTATTTCCCCTGGTTTGATTTATGGATTTGAAAACTTACCACTTCAGCCAGAACTCATAAAGCAGAAAAATTACCTTAAAATTAAGTTGACAGTGCGTTAGGATGAATTATGGATACTTTTTTTGGCTTCTGACAGATATTTGCTTCAGGATATTCTTCTGGCTGAGAAGCTGTAAACAAGACACAGTAGCAAAAATACAAGCAAAGAAAAACAACTAAAATAATTAGATCAGCTATAGTACTAAATCATTTTGATGCTGAATTTGGCTCCTCTGAGTCTAAACCAAACCAACTGTATTTATTTCATAATCTTTATTTTTCAATTTATTTATCCATGGTATATATATCCATGTGTATGTGTTTTCCCTCCAAGAATCACTGTGTCTCCATCATGAGGAAAATAAAATAAAACTTTTTAAATTACCACAAAATTTTTCAATTTATTTAAAATAAAGTCTGTGAGAGGGGTATTCTAGAGCTCCATTATACTTATCATATAAACAAAGCTTTCCCTGGCACATTTTTCCACAACTCCTTATGCTGCTAACTTGTTGAAAATTGTGCCACTGTTTATATTATTAACTGGAGCCCAGGACTACAAGGAGCTGTTGAAGCACTCACCCAAGAGACCAGCCAGAAGACAGGCACTGCAGTGGAAGGATTAGTGAGCAGGATGCTCAGACACTCATTCCAGCTTGGAGCGGCCACAGCTGAATGCAGTTACATCTGGCCATGGGATGTGCACCTCCCTGTGAGAAAGCTGTGGATACTGAAAAGTTAATGAAGGCATTTTCCAGCTCTGCAGGATGTATGCTGTTCCTTTCTTCTGTGCTGATGCACATGACTCTGTATCTTGTGCAAGCAGTCACTGGACACACAAACCAGGAAATGGATGTTCAAAGTAATTGTATTATTAAATGGGGATGATATCAAATTTAATTAAGAGATAAATATACCCTTACAAGTAAGCAAATGTCATCAGGGGATATCAGTTACACTTGCATATATTTCCAGTCACAGGGTGCTTTAAAATCCTCCTCATTTATGGACAGTATGTTTCTCTGAAATAGGAAAACAAGGTTTTTTCAGGTGATGCATGAAGCAAGAGTTCAAACAACTTGACTGAAGAGTATCAGCAAGTAAACTAAAAATATATCCTACCAGTAAAATCCTTATGGGAGTATGTCATAAGGGTGGTGTGTTTGCAGCTGGGTATAGGATTCAGGGGGCCCCCAATGAGGGGGAAACAAGTTGATGATGATCCAGGTGTTCATAACATGCATGTGTTTGCCTTCTCATGGTATTATCATTACATAGTCTAAATTTAGACAACCTCAGACATTACAAAAATCAGTGTTTGCATTGCAATTATAAAATTTCTTACTTCTAAAATCTAAAGATTGCAGAACAACTATATCAGAGAGCAGACAATAGAATATTTAGAAGAAGGAAGCAAATATTTTGTTTAAATTATTTTTGGGAAAAGCCTTCAAGGGTTTTGAAAAAGGCACAGTCCTTCTTTTTGACCATGTGGAGCTTAAAGGGTCATTGACCAAGTTCTACCATCGCTACATTTGGACGATAAACTGTGGGAGCTCACAAAATCCCAGGCAAGGAGATTCCCCTTACTTTGGAAATCTGTAGATTTTAGACATATTTTTCCACAGCACTTTGTGATATCATGTGTCACAGTACTTTGTGCCATCACTTACATGGGTGAAGACTGGCAGCAATCTGACTACTCACTTTGAACTGAGCAACCACATGAGATGCTGACACAGAAAATCACCCTTTGATTTCTCAAGAGTTAAATTGCATCTTCAAACCACGTCAAGTTCCATTTGGAGGAAGCTATGGTGTTTTTCTAGTGCATTTCTGCCACTGGTTATTCTTTCTCTTTTTGTTTCTTCAGAGAAGAAATGTCTGCATCCTAGCTGCTAATGAAAGAAGAGCATAATTCTGAAATGCTTAGTCACTTTTATACTTTTTTACTGATGCTGGGAAGAAGTGACATGTAGTTAACATGATTAAAAAGACAAGGGGGAGGAGAAGGTGGAGAAGGATTATATAAAATATATTTATATTGCTTCTACAACTGAATTGTTTTCAGTATAGTGTCACGCTCTCAGTGTGGGGGAATTCTGCATGTGTCATGATTCTACAGATGTTCCTGCACACTACATGCAGCTGCACTATTTGTCATGGGCAAATTTAATAGCAAGATGCTTGTTTTGTGTTCTCTCTAATCTTAGTTCACAAAAACATGGAGGGGAAAAAACCCACTACCTGACAGCTTGCTTGCTTCCTTCTTTATATAGCCTTTTAAAACACTTTAAAACAAATACTGGGAACACCCATCTTTTTTCCTTTTTTTAATTCTGTAACACCTGCAATTACAGCTCTATTACCTTTGCTAGAATGATCTTGTTCTTTCTAATGTTTATAATGCTAATTAAATAATTTTAAGTACTTGAAGAGGTCATATTTCTAACAGTGGGGGTTCTTCAAGAGCTTGATCCTTCAAAAGGGAGAATAATTTCTGCTAAGTCCTGAGTATGCTCTGTTCTCAGTGACTTGCAGGTGAAACCCAGAAGCACCCCATAAAGCAACACAGCAGAGCCAAGTGCTGTCAGAAATTTTACAGAGTCAAACTCAGAGGAGCTTTTCTACTCTTATCATTTGAAAATCCTGGATCCTCTCCTTTAGGTATTCTCTGTCATGAACTTTGTTGGTCTGTGGGCAGTGTGTTAGAAGGAATCAGACCCTTGGGTTCCAGCTTCTTGCAGAGGTATCCAGGAAGCAGAATAAAATTCTGCAAATAGAAAAGAGAAGAAAAAAAGAAATAAAGTGATGGAGGAGATGGACGGGGGTGGGGGGGTGTGCTTTCACTTGGACAGCCTATATTATGCTGAAATATGGGTTGTCTAGTTAGTGGCAAGGGATGTAACTGAAGAACTGGCAGTGCAAGGAGAAATTTGGACTTCAGAGAACAAAACTGACAGGTGAAGTAGAAGCACATCCAACTACACCAAACAGGACAAAATTCAAAATGAAGGTATAGCTTACAGAAGGTGTTAAGAGTGTTACACTACCAGTAAGTGTATGAACAAAAACCAGATGTTATAAATGAAAAATTCAAATTTAATTACTGCATCTCCTACAGTACAAGAAAGACATTAACCTACTCCAGTGGAGGCTAGAGCAGGAAGCCTGTGAAAGAGAGGCTGAGGGCACTGTGGTTCTTCAGCCTTGAAAAGGCCAAGAGGGCAGGGGGATCTACTGCTGTCTGGAAATACTTCACAAGAGGCTACAAAGAAGACAGAGACAGGTCTTTCTTAGATGTGCACACAGACAGAAAAGAGACAAACTGCAGAAGTCAGACCAAGAGATATTCTGACCAGGGATAAATGGTTTGATTTACCATTTATCATTTACCATGGTAAATGAAAAATCATTTACCGTGAGGGTGGTGAAACACTGGCAGAGGATCCCTGGAAAGCTGTGACTCCCTCATCTCCAGATGACAAGGTCTGTATATCCTCTTCTGGAGACTAATCACATTGAGTAATCTAGTGATCATCTAGATATTAATATCTACTCTTGTAACATTAAAAAATACATGTATTTACAAGTACAGCTGAAACTCTGAGTTCTTTTAAAACATAAAAGAAAAGATGGACCAATAAGTTATTTTTTCTTACCACTGAAAAATCACATTTTCAAAATAAATGTACCATTTATGTAAAATTGTATGGGAGGTACTTTAAAGAATCTTAAAACTTGTACATGGTAAAAACTGCATATATGTAAAATACACAGTCATGTATCAAATTGATAGAAAAGTTCTTGTTTGTAGGAAGCTGATCAGATAATTTTGGAAACGTGTAACAAGTGCTTCAGTTATTAAAGGTGTGCATCTGAGAACACAGTCTGCCAAAGAAAATGGAATATTGAGTCTTTTCAGAAGAATGCTGACAAATAACATTGAAATATTTAGTAGAGATGTGAAGATATTAGTTTCCAGTCTTCAGATGATTACTTAGCTCAAAATTTAAATAGGTGTGACTATGACATCTCTAACTCTGTTTCTAATCAATCTCAAATCATGGATATGAGATCTAGTTGTGTTTGTGTAGAGACCCAACTTCAGAAATTGTTGTGAACTACCTCATGTAAAACCTGCCCACTAGTGCCTGTCTGTGTGTCTGTATGTCTGATGTATCTTAGGTTCAAGCATGTTTCTTAATTAGCCTATACCTTTATCAGGTTACACTATGGTCTCCTGCAGCTAAAAGAATTTTTAACTTAGCACTACAAACTATAGCTCTCAGTTTAATAATCACAGTATTCCTGCTGATTGGGAAAATTATATTGGCAATGAAAATCAAATACTTTTTGTTAGCTGGCCTCCTGTTGGCAATGAAGAATTACAAGTCAATCAGACTTTGAATTACTCTAATTCAAGAGAAGTTAGGAAAGTGTGAATGTTTCCAAGATCTGCTGTTCAGTCATGACTCTGCAGTCATAGCAGGGTTTGCAAATCCTTGCTCTGCATTTCACAGACTATTCAAAGTGACTTTATAGCCCAATAAATGTGATTTTGCCATTACTGGTAAAAAGCAACAGGGTTTGTATCGAGGTGACAGTGTAGGGACTCAGCAATGCCCTGGCTTTTTCTGGGCCTCAAAAGATTTTAACTTGGTTTAGCTGTGATAGCAATTGTCCAGCGGTCAAGAGGCACTCTTGACTAGATTTGTTTTAGTTTAACTTTAGTTTAGGATAATAACAAATAGTTATTCATTGTGAACTGAACTGCCTACAATTCTAGAGTCAGCTGTGGGGAAGAATGCAGACATATTTGACAATGCAGACAAATCAGCCATTTAATCATAGATTATAGTGTTAAGAAAACATATAAAACTAAATCTGAACAGATACCAGGCTCAGAAGAAAGACATCCTTCTCCCATGAGTATCACACGAATCCTGATGATAATTCATCATAATACTCCTGCATATCTTTTGAGGAATACCAATATTAAGACCCAAAGGAGAACTGGGGGAGTAAATGCAACACCAGAGAAGAGGGAATTTTTAGCGTAGCAAGTCTAACTCTATTTTTAATGAGGTCTTCCTATATTCATTAAGTAATTTTGACTATTAAACTGTTTAAAACATTAACTGGACTAACAAAAAGAAATTAGATTAATTTATATTCTTCTGCCAGTACATTTTTGCCAAACAGAAGACATAGAGTGTAATAGCACATCATAACATGACCAACATCTTCAAGAACCTAGAAGCTGAATCCTGAAGCTCACAAGCACTTTTTGCCAGTTGCAGTCAATGCTGCTGTGCTCTATTTTCTCATGGACAAGCTGAATAAAATCAATCCAGTGAATTAGTTCTCACTGAAGGTTACCACTCAGGAAGAGGTCAGTGTGTTTGCGTGCTGCTGTTTTAATCAGTGCTACCACTAGTGCTACCACTGGCTTACCACTTTCCCTCTGGTCACAGGCTTTTACTGCTGATTTCACAAGGCAGTGCAGTGAGCAAAACACTCTGAGAACATGAGGCTGAGTGTAAAGAACCCAACTGCCTGTGTAATGCTCCCTCTGTCATTTACCTTGGTCTGTTTGAAAGGGTAAAGCTTACTTTCACAGCCCAGTTAGCTCTCCCAGTACAGCACGAGCCCTGCACGAGCTCCCATTTACCACTCTGTGTATGTACCTCTGTTTGTGTGGCCAAACAGCCCACAGAGCAGTCCTTTGCCTTAAGGTTTTCAGGTCTCCCTTGCATGCCTTCCCAATTCAGCACAGCACAAGGGAATATGGACAAATTTGTGTAGTTCTGCTTGGGTCTCCTTGCTGTAGCTTGAGCTGTTCATGCTGCCAGCTGGCTCTGCCAGGCCCCTGGAAAACTCCCTCACCAGGGAAGAACATCAGTCTGAAATGCTTCCTACAATCTGCGTTTGCTCTGAACCAGTCCAGGCTGCTTTCTTGTTCAGGGTAGAAAAGTATGACGGCTTCACAAGTATTATTGTGGCTGGGGGGCACCTCTGCAGGGACAGCCAATTTTCTCACTCTCTACTTTCCATCTTCATCTCAAACACTGGGAAACGCATCAACTTTCAAAGTAGCTCTTCATGTCCTGAGTGCTGCTGCCACATGTATATATTCCCCCTAGAACGAGCTGAATGGAAAGAGTGTTGTATAATGATCTCTCATTTAGTTTAAAGTGTCATCTTTTCCTTCACTGCATTTTGTCTGTGAGAAGTATGCTGAGTCTTGTGCAGCTGCGTTCTCGCTCTTATTCGGCACAGATCTCTTCTAAGTTCTGCACCCGTAGCAAGAGTTTCCTTCTTCCCTTTGAAAAGGGTGATAAACGGGTACAGAGCAGAGGAGCCCAAAGCCTACATGCATATGAACCAGGACTAGGATGAAAATATTAACCTAAAAGAGATAAAAGAGATTTTTTTGGCTTCTAGTGCATGTGTTCTGAGCTGGAAAATAAAATTCCAAATGGAGAAGAAGAAGGGAAGACAAGAAATTCAGATGCTGACTTTACTTGTTTTCAGAGCACAGAATATCTACTATACTCAAACATAAATCAGCCAGCCAGTGAATTCTTGCCCAGTATCCTCAAGGTTATCTGGAAGTCAGCCACAAGTATCTTGCACGAGGACATGTGCAATGACTGACTTCAGCAAGGTGACAAAGACCTGCTCTGGTCGAGGTTGGGATGCTCAGAATGCTCACCACCACACATGACAGGGCCCTGCCTTTCTCACTGAGTTGTGTAAGCAAGATACAGTTCTGCTCAGAAAAAACATACTCAATTATTTAAAAATTAACTGGGGTTAAACCAATTGCCATTGTCAGGCATGCTAACCTTTAGAGCACATCTAGCATTAAATCATGGATATCTATAGGGAGTTCCCTTGGATCGTTTGATCAAATTATGCTCTCAAAAGTACACTTCAAAAATGTCATCCCTGTGTAGGAGGAAAAGAAAGAAAATAAGGCAATGAAATTAATGGAAATTTGGAGAAATGAAATGTTGTCTCATGTATTTTGACAATGTAGGCATCAGTAGGTTTGCCAGACAGATCAGCTTCAGATTTGACTTGAGCAAATTATGCTAGTCTAAAGCATAAGCTACTTGCTAGTAATTTTCTTGGCTTTTTCCTCTTGAACCATTTTACATGTTTATCTACATTATAACAGCAATAGCCATGCATCTCCCACATTTGAGGTCATTCCCCAGCCTTTGGGAAGAAAGCCGGCATCTGACAGGGCAGCCAATTTCTGGTCAAAGAAGTGTTTTAAGTAACAAGGTGCACAGGCAGCAAGAGCAAAGGTGGAAAATATGTGAAGTTGAAGAAATGAGAGACTGCTAAAACAGTCGGGTATAGACAGCAAGAGGAAAGAGCAGCAAAATACCTGAAGGGCTCTGACACAGAAATCCCACTGCACCAATTGTTTAATCATTACCCTGCTTTGCAAACAGCACACTGTAGGCACCCTTCCTTTGCAGAGATCTGCTGCTGCACACCATTTCTTTCAACAATAAGATAACAGGCAAAGCTGGGCATAGCTGATGGATCCATAATAATACCAAAAAAGAGAGAAATGATACCCAAGAAAAAGTGATGCCAGTGAAAAACAATTGCTCACCACCACCAAAACAATGCCCAGTCGTTCCTCGAGCTGCAGTCCCCAGCCAACTTCCATCTCTATTTCATACAGAGAGCATGATGCCATATGGCAGGGAATATCCCTTTGGTCACTTGGGGTCAGCTGCCCCAGCTGTTGTCCTCTCAACTTTTCGTGCACCTTCAGCCTCATCGCTGGTGGAAGGGTGTGAGGAACAGAAAAGGCCTTGACTCTGTGTGAGCAATTATTTAAACATCTCTGAATTATCAACACTGTTTCCAGCACAAATCCACAACACAGCCCCACGCCTGCTGCTATGAAGAAAATTAACCCAGAAAATCTACCCCAGTCAAAATTAGCCCAATCTTAAACTGAATTTGCTGGGCGCTAAGGTGCTTGGTGGTGTTGGGATTTTTATTTGTGAATGTGACAAGTTTGACTGAAGCCTAAGAAACATTTTTACAGATTGCTTTAAAACAGTATTATATTTTAATACTGTCTATCCTCACACAACATGCTATGATTTTATTTTCCATTATTATGATGATGTACTACAACATCAAGTAATAAAGACTGTAGTGAGTTCGGATTGGAGAATATAAACATCAGTCCTCTTGTTTGATTTTCCTAAATCTCTTTCTGACCTAAGCACCTAAATATCCTCAGCCTGGTCATAATCCACACCTTGACCATATGGTCCTCTACAAGAAAACAAAATAATTCTAGGCAATTAAGACACTTGCCCATATCCATTTCATCTGATAGATCTTTGGAGGTACAAACAAAACACTGGATGGGAAGATCTGCTAATGCTGATAGTGCTTTAGATCACTTGATAATCTTTTTCCTGTGATAGTTATTACTGAATGGAAATCAAATGTATGCATGTTAGGACTAGTAACAGATGGCACTTCTGTTCTGTGAGGAAGAAATAGGGGCAAAGGGGCAGCAAAGTTGAACCTCCCCCCTTCCCTGTCTTACCAGGATTCATTGTGTTGCCCTCCTGTTACAGTTGGCTGTGACTCTTTCTTGTTATAAAGAGATGTCAGAAGTTAGAGAGAGACAGACGATAACCTTAAATCCTTTACTGCATTTTACCAGGATTCTGAAAAATAAAAAAATAAAAAATAAAAGCCAGCTGAGGGAGTTGGAAAATGTCAGTGAGGCATTACACAAAGAACTTGATACATTTGTTGACCTTTCTTCTTACTCCACCCTTCTCCTCTAAGATGGATTTAGTAGTAGTGAGTGCTTAGTGCTATAAGTGCTTTCTTAAAAATAATTTAGATGCTATTGGCTGTCTGCCTGCACTTGGAAAACAGAGCTGTTTCAATGAGCCCCTGCTGAAACGGAAGAAAAGGGGTTTATTGAAATGCCTCCAAAAATGCACCAAAATTTCATTTTTTCCCTTGTCTGCTGAAACCCATCTTGTTCCTGCTTTTACAGTCTTTTGTTTTATTTTTTTAATTGTACCATTGTGTCCAGGCTCTTTTCATTCTTCTCCGCTATTTTACGAATGGCGTGTGTGGTATTAAGAGCTGAAGGCAGAGATGAGAGGAGAAGTGTTTTGAATTGACTAATTTGCAGGCAAGAAATAAAGCTCTTGTAAGGTGGTCCCAGGGGTATCTTTGCCATGAACACTATTTGAAATGACATGTAATCTGGTACATTTCAAAGGCAAAACATTTCCTATTCTAAAGTATCTTCCTGAGCCAGGGTTGGTTTACCTGTTTCCAGAGAATAATAAACTCCACCGAGGCCAAGGAATCTCCTTCTCTCCCCTCTCAAAATTCCTGTTCTTTTTCAAAGGGGCAAGTGCAGCTAACAGTTTATTTCTGTCCTATCTTTTGCTGCTCTAATGGCTCAGTGCTCACCACTAATACATAGCTGAATGCACGTCTGGATTAAATACCAAGTAACAGAACCCAGCACATCCCTGTACAACACAATAAATAATGGTGTGGAGCTCTCTTGTTTCTTACAACAGTGGAAAATTTAGGTTCTTATAGGCTTCTAAAATTTTAAGCATTTCACCACATAATTTTGATGTGGCGATTTCTTAATAAAAACTGTTCCTCTTCTAGAGAAATCTGAGTTCAACTGACCTTGGAACGTTGTATTAATACTCTTTCTCAGCACAAATCAGTGTTTCTAGCCTTGCTGACATACTAAAAGTCTTACACACAAAAATCCACATTAATTTGTTAAGGCAGAAATTTCAGAAAAAAATTTCTTTATGTTTAGAATTTTGTCCATACTTTGGTGAAGGCTTAGCTGGTCTTATAAATTGACATACTTAATCATCATCTGTGAGCATATACATATACTCTAAGGAATGTTTCTATATGTGTATCATTTAAGCTTACGATATCCAAAGGCTGTATTGCATAGTTTTGAAAGATTTTTAAATGTTTTAAATGAGGAAACTGGCCACAAATAAACCCCAAAGCTTTTGAGAAAATAAACACTGATAAATATTACAAATAAGTTCTATTAATTTCACAGCTGTTCTGTTCTAAAGCTTTTAGTTACTGAAAAACAAACTCCTACTTTTTAAACATTCTGAACTTAGATCACTGTTTCAACATTTACTTGACTTTCTCTTTAACTCTCCATGAAGAGAAATCAGGATACCTTGTGTCTACAATAACAACCCTACATTTTCATATTTTTAAATTTATATTATATTTATTTTTTAAAAGAAAAAAACTTCAGTTACAGTGCTTTTAAAAACCCACATGCTTTTGCTCAAATGTACCGGCTCTACATATTATTTTTTCAATTGAGGACAATGTTAAATAAATTACATTACTTGAAGAGAGACACTGAAGGTTCCTGGATAGAACAAGCAAAAGAAATGTATTTGAAATGTCCAGAAAGGAGAAATTTCTAAAGGCATGAAAAGTGAGAAGTTCTCTCCTCAACCTACTATTTATGTGAGGCAGCAGAATGTCCAGGATGACTTGTGCTGTCAGTTTGCATCACCAGTCTCAGCCCTCTGAAGGGCAGATTTTGTACTGTGAGTGACCTTAACGTGTGTTGCATTTGGATCTCTACCAAACAGAAGTCATGACAAAATATTATGCCCCACAGACAGGCTTTACACCTTGTTCTTCACAAGGTTCTGTCAACTGTAATTCTTCATTTATGGGAACTTAGCCCAAATGTAACTTGGAACTAAATGTGTCCAGTGTTCACAAAAACTTCCAAAGGCAGTGCTGTTCCCCAGTAGTGTTCATCTCCTGGACTGGTCCCCTGAGCAATTCTGAACTATTAGATCAGTCTGGACTAGATACTATTACTAAAATAATGAGAAAACATAACACCATGAAATAAAAGAACTTTCTCCAACTTAGTTAGCAATACCAGAAATTTCTAGAATTTCTGCCACAACCAGAGAAATCATCAGGCCTTTCCATGCCTGCTGAGTGCTGTCACATGTTAACACACCGATGGCATTACCCCTCAAGCAATCAGTGTCTGAGGAAAGTTTCAGTGCTTGGCTCAGGCAGCTGCCTGGGGGGGAACACTCGCTGCTTGCTGAAATCAGAGGTAGCTGCCTGCTCTTCTGTATTTGCACAAGTCATCAACCTTGCACAAGTATACTTGAGCAACAGATTTTACCCTACTGAAAATTTGCAAACTCTCCCCTGACCCAGCTACTTCCTAATTCCAGTCCTAATAAGGACTTCTGTAAAGCCCTTTCATTGCCTGTGTGTGATGCTGTCTTCAGTGAGACATTAACTTAATTTATATTTTTTTCTTTAGCTAAATTTCTAACATATAGGCAATATGTAGGGAAACCATGAGCAGGAATAAATTGTTTCACTCTGGGATGCTTTTCAGACACAGGAGCATTTTGCTAATACAGAATACCCAGCCAGAAAGCAGCACAATATCCCAGCTCAGCTGATTGATTGAAACTATATTTTTGAGGGCTGTTTTTGTCCTTTGGTGACTCATGTGATGTGATGCCATTTTCACACTATGTGTAGAACACATGCTTGTTTGAACACTTCACTATTTGGCTCAAAGTAGTACAGTATATTGTTCTGTTTAGGGAACAAGTTTGAATTTACCATTGACTCAGGAGAACTTCACAATGTATCGCTGGGTCAAGGACAGGAAGCTGCAGCAGAAATAGCTATGGAAAAGGCATCAAAAGAAGGCCACTGGGTTATACTTCAAGTAAGTCAAAGCTCTTCATTACATCAGTGCTGCACTGCGGTGTTAAAAACTGAAGCGTTTCAAAATAACATGTGCCTAGATGAAAGAGTACTAAATAGTGATTTAAAACTTCCTTTGTCTTTGCCACAAGGGAAGCACATAACTTCATCTCTGTATGTGAGTATCGCTGAATGGCACATAAAATATGAATTGCAACTATCTTGCATGTAGGGAGTCAACTAACATATTTTCCCAAGCACATGATATCTGATTTACTAATTTATTATCCATTAAAAAAAATCCTTTAGTAAATAAATGTGTAGCAAAAAGAATTGTTATGCTGTATAATCAGATGAATAGATACAAACAGGGAAGATTGCTGTCATTATGCAGTGTATTGTGCTAAACAGATGCACACATTTTTTTCAAATATTGTGCAATATCAAACTGCTTCCTTATGTCTGGGTTTTTCTTGTATCAATAAAATGTTTGAAATTTCAAATCAATAGCTCACTGGGAGGCCTGTTTTTTCCTCCCTTCTCCCCCTCTCCCTCCTTAGCTCTGAATATTTATTTTGTAGTAAAGTGGCTGGACATATTAGAGATATTACTGAAGAAAACCAGGGAAGGAACCAAGGATTGGTTTTGAGTGTGGGGAACCTGCTCCTTTCCCTACAGCACATCTCATTCCAGAGTGCATTTAGGAAACCTCCCATTAAAATAACTGATAAGCCCCTACCTGTAGTACTGCCTGATCACCATGCTGCACTGCATAAATTTGACCAGGCAAGCAAACCACCACAGAAATAAAACTTTAAAAACGTATTGAACTTCTTATTTTAAAGCCACTTGAAACAGTGAAGGCAGTAAAGTCACTAAAAGCCTTTACAATAGCAAAGCAGCATTAATTTCATTTCTTAAAGATTTGTTCACATATCATAGAGTGACTGCATATCTATCACCAAAAAAGAAAAAAAAAATCAGACAAGAAACTACTTCTTTCAATTTCAAAGCATCACATACAGCTTCTAGCTAAGTACCTGTCTGTGTGCATAGGAAATGAAGAATTTGCAGTCACTACAGGTAATTACTGTAGTACAGAAAAGGAATTTATTTTGGTGTCATCTAGCTTAGTTTGGTTTATCATGAGATGCACAACCAAATGGGTTTGTGTCTCTGGAATATCTTTTACATGTTCTGAGCGTGCAGGGCACGGAGATTCACTACACCAATTTATATTCCTGTGGGTTTGGTCAAAAACATTTGGATCATACATTAGAGGAAAACATGGCTCAGCTGCTAGGTTATCATATTTTCCTCTGTCCTTTTTAATTTTTGTTTTGGAAGGCTTTTAATGAAAACAAAGGTACTTACAAACACAGGTGTGTATAGGTAGTAGTTGTAAGCTATGATCACAGATATGGTCAAAGAAATCAAGTATCTCTTTAGAACATAAATCTGTACTAAAGAAAGAGCATCCACCTGAATGCTAAAAAACTCAGCAATTACAAAACAAAAACCAAACAAAAACCAAACAAATTGCTTTTTCGGCACTATATTCTAAAAAACCTCTGTGAAAATTACAAAGACTTTTCTTCTTTTTTTCTTGTATAGAATAACCTCCTCCAGCAATAAAAAGTGAAAATCGCCAGCCACCCGCGCGGCGAAGGGAATGTCACCCCAAGTGCTGACAGACGCACAAAGAAACCCGCGGCTGCAGCCACGGCCACATCCCGCTTGTCACCAACTTCTGCCGGGGCTGCGGCGGCGCCGGGCCCGCTGCGGCCCCGGCCG